GGTAGATTGTAGTCCCATTTCTCAGAAGAAAAGATGGAGACTCAGAGAGGTTAAGTAATTTGTCCAAGGGCACACAGTTAGGAAGGGGCAGGGCCAGGGCTGGTGCATGAGTCTGCGCGGCCCTAGAATGACAGTGAGTGACAGCCGGCTATGGGACCCCTGGGACAGTGAGACCAGGAGAACCCCTGAGTCGTGATCATTACGCCTCAACCTAGAAAACGGCCTCCCCTCTTTACAGCGCTGACAGTAGCTCGTAGGGGCACATGCCTGAGCCCACTCCAAGGTGGGGGGGCCTAGAGGAATCCCCCCAACCAACCAGGAGGACCAGGGAGAGGCAGCCTCCAGGGAGCCCAGCAGACCTCCATGTGGCCGCCAGAGGGCAGCAAATGCACCTGTAAGGGAGGGCACCCCAGGTTGAGGAGCCACAGGGAACTGACACCCCAGGTGCCTCCTCCTCCAGGCGCACACTGGTGAGTGGTGAAGCGGGGGCTTGAACCTGGGCCTCTGGCTCTGAGTGTGGAAGCCTCTGCCCGGCTTGATCTAAGGCTGGGCCCAGGTCAGCTGCTCCTGGACCTCAGCAGGGCAGGGCAAGGGAGGTCACCAGGGCTGTCCTTATTGTCCCTTCCCTGTCAGTCAAAGCTCTTAGCTCCTCCCTCAGCACTCACCTCCACGCCTCATAGGAAGCCTCTACTCATTCATTCATTCATTCATTCATGTGTCCATTCTCTCAATTTAATATCAAATATATATTTACTAATCACCTCTATGTGCTAGGCAAACAGTAGTGAACTAGACAGTCTGGTGCGGGAGGCAGGCATGTGCAGTGTGATGGGCTGGGCACAGGAGCCAGGGGGCTCCTAGAGCTGGGGGCAGGCGGGCATCAAGGAGAGCTTTCTGGAGGAGGAGGTTTACGCACCAGGAGCTGGGGAGCCAGTCACAGGGAGCGGGGAGAGCTTTTCCTCATCCAGCCATTTAAGAGCCACATACAAAGCAGTGGGATGGGAGCTGGAGATAGAGAAGCCCCCAGATTCAGGGCCCAGCAGGGGCGGCAGGCAGGGCGTGAGCATCTGCAGTGCTGTGCTCAGGGCCCTGATGGTGGGTCCCCAGGGGAGCACAGCAGGGGCAGGGCCAGGAGGCTTGTGGGGGCACCCACAGGAGCAGCATGGCGAGAGCATAAGCTAAGGGGTGACAACCTGGACCCGCGGGTATAGCCGTGCAAAGACAGTAACTTCCCTGAGAATCAGTTTTCTCATCTGTAAAATGAGAATGAGTCTCATTGTCTTGTAGGTGTTGTGCCACCTGACACATAGTAGGCACTCAATGAATAATGCTGGCTGAATGAGTGAGTAGCCTGTGGGCTTGTTCTGTGAATGGTTGCTGTGTTGTTGTTGTTGTTGTTTTATTACTATTACTATCTGTGTGCTGTAAATCCTGGAGCAAGTGTAAAGTTAACAACAGCCTGCAAAGACTGAGTAGGGATTTTCCAGTAGGTTTCCTGTTACTGATAGAGACGACTCTCCACACCCACCAGGGGGCGACTGCGCTTGCTGGGCCCCGTCCTGGACTCTCACAGGCAGTCACATACACACAGGCGTGCTCACGCTCACACACATTCATACCCACACTCACACTTGCCCTCAGCTTACGCACGTATTCCCACACATTGGCTCACACACTCATCCTCACACACGCTCCTTCCAGAACCAGCACCTCACTCAGGCCGACCCCACCAAGGCGGGAAGGTGTCTGCTCCCCTCCAGCCTGGCCTGGGCCCTGCCACGGCGTCTGGCCTGGCTTGACTGGTGACCACAGATGCTCAGACCTGCCACGAGGGCCAGGAGGGTGGACGAGGGCCAGGGACTGGCCAGTGTCTGTCACTCATTTAATCCTCACAGCACCCCTAGGAGAGAGGGAGGGACTGTTACAGTCCTCCTTTTAGGGAAGGAAACCGAGGCACAGAGAAGTTACAGGACTTGCTCACTGATAAGAATCAGTGTCTCTGAGTCACAGCGACACTTGCTCACTGATAAGAATCAGTGTCTCTGAGTCACAGTGACAACACAGCACAGCATAGCAGCAGCCACACAGCACGGAACAACACCACACAGCACAGCACACAGCACAGCACAGCACACAGCACAGAACACAGCACAGAACACCACACAGCACAGCACACCACACAGCACAGAACAACACCACACAGCACACCACACAGCACAGCATAGCAGCAGCCACACAGGGGAGCTGTCCTAGCACCCAGAGTCCCAGCACTGAGCATGTGGCCGTATCATCTCCCTCAGTCGCTGTGGAGTCGCTCTGGCTGCTGTCATGAATTCCCGGGAACTGGTGCCTTCAGCTCATGGACTGATTGTCCCAGTCGGTTCTGGAGGTGAGAATGGACTGGTAACCTGGGTGGGGTCTGGAGGTGAGAATGGACTGGTGTCCCGGGTGGGTTCTGGAGGTGAGAATAGACTAGTGTCCCGGGTGGGTTCTGGAGGTGAGAATGGACTGGTGTCCTGGGTGGGTTCTGGAAGTGAGAATGGACTGGTGTCCTGGGGGTTCTGGAGGTAGGAATGGATTTGTGCCCTGTGGGGTCTGGAAGTGAGAACGGCCTGGTGTCCTGGGGATCTGAAGGTGAGACGGTGCTGAGCTCTCTGCCCCCGTGCCCCTTGCTCCCAGCCTCACTCTCCACTGTCTTCATCACCTTCCTCTCTCTGTCTCTCTGTTACCTCTGTGCCCCATCCCTGCTGTGGCATCTCTTCGTGTCTCTGTCCACTGTGCTGTCTGTCGTGAGCACTTCTCTGTCCCTTCGTCCCTCTCTATTCCTCCATGCATGTTGCTGTGTGTCTCAGTCGCCACCTCTCAGCATCTCTCTGTCCCCGTGTCTGTCTGTCCCTGTGCCGTCTCCCCCTTGGTCCCACCTTGCGCATCTCCACACGTGTTTCCGTGTCCCTGCAGCCAGGCTGCCGGCGCCAGCCAGAGAGCAGGCAGCGCCCGGGGATCTGAAGTCCCTCGTGCCGTGGCCTCTCCGGTTTCCCTTCGATGTGGACCGCATCCAGGGTCTCGGTGGAGGACGGAGGGCCCATGGTGGTCCGAGGACACTGGCTGGAGTCACCTGACAGGACTCTCCATGGAAGGGCTCAGGCCTGACCCCCGAGGCAGCCCCACCCCGCCTCCCTGCCTCCGCCTGCTCCTCACCGGCCACCCCTGTGGCCCCGTGACCCCACCTTCTGTGGAAGTTCCCGCCCGCCCTTCCCTTCTGCTGATTTGGGGTAGGGGCACGGCGGCCTGGAATCAGGGACTGTAAAATCATGCCTTGGAATTTGTTGGAAACAGAAAAGCCCCCCATAAAGTCTCCCAGCCCCTCATATTCGATTTCACAAGCCAGTCATCTGCTAACTGCGGGGAGCAGCCCCCGCGCCCCCAGCCCCATGCTGCCGGGTGGTCGGAGGGGACACCAGGGCAGGAGGGCGCGTTTCCTCTGCTTGAGGACACCAGGCGCTAAGTGACAACGCGCCACCCTGATGACTATCTGCGGGAGGGTGGCTCTCCCCGCTGGGGCCCCGAGAGTGATCAGGGAGACAGGAGGCCAGAGACGCCGGGTCTCTGTTGACTGTGAGCCTCCACCACAGACTCCATCAGCCCTCATAGAGCTCCATCCGCACCCTGGTCTGGGCTGCAGCCCTCATTTTCCTCCACAAAACTTCCTCCTGCTCCAGGTTCCCTCACCAGAATAAAAGTCCCCATTGCTCAGATCAAGTGGCAAATCCTGGTGGTGAGGGCAGGACCTCTGGGGGGTGAGCAGGTGCTGGAATTGAGCAAAACAAATTCATTCTTCAAAGTAGTGTTTCTGAAGTGTTGTCTGGAGGCAAGGTGTAAGCCTGGGCCCAGCTCTCCTCACTGGTAAGGTGGAGACGCTACCTATCTCCTGGGCTGCAGGTAGGATGAACTAATTATTCATGATCAAAATCAGCTGCCGGTCAGGCCTCGGTTCAGCCTCAGCTCCACCCCTTGCTGGATCGGGGTCTGATGGTCAATTTATGTGTCAACTCAGTGAAGGCCCCACCGCCAGTATCCAATCAACCCCGCTTCTCGGTTCTATGAGTGAGGGGGTGTTTTACAGAAGAGATTCAAGTCCCAAATCAGCAAAGGAGGGTCCAGAGGATCTGGTGGGCCTGGTCCCATCAGTTGAAAGGCCCGAAGAGCAGGGCTTTCCTGAAGAAATCCCACCTGTGGACAGGAGCTTCGGCCGCTGCCTGAGTTCCAGCCCCTCCTGCCCGCCTGCCCCATGAATTCCGGGCTGCCCAACCCGCCCCACGGCCGCCTAAACCAAGTCCTTGCAATAAACCCTTATTATGTGTCTCCTCCTGGTTCTGCTGCTCTGATTGGACCCTGACTGATACGGGAGTTCTGGGCAAGTGTTTCAAGCTGCAAAATGGGAGTAAGAACCTCTTATAAAATGATAAAGTTGAGAGCCATGGAGAGGGACAGGCTAGAGACTGGAGGTGAGAATGGACTGGTGTCCCGGGTGGGAGAGGCAGGCATGGAAACGGCCTTCCCCTCTTTACAGCACCCCCCCCCACCCCCGGCCTGCAGCACCTGCCTTTAAACCTCGACATTTCTCCAAAGAAGACCTACGAGTGCCCAACATGCACATGAAAAGGTGCTCCACATCATTAGGGAAATGCAAATCGAAGCCACAAAATCCCACCCAGTAGGATGGCTCTCGTCTTTGAAAACTAGAAAATGACAAAGGTTGGCAAGGATGTGGAGAGCTGGGAACCCTTGTGCATTGCTGGTGGGGATGTAAACTGGTGCAGCTGAAAACCAGTCTGGTGGGTCTCAAAAAGTTAAACAGAGAACTGCCCATGACCTAGCCATTCCACTTCGGGGCACACCCGGAAAGCATTGAAAACAGGTACGCAAGCAAATACTTGCACAGAGCAGCGCTGTTCACAGCAGCCAGCAGGTGGAGGAAGCAGCCAAATGTCCAAGAACCGATGAGCGGATACACACTGGTGGTAAACGCCGCGGAGAATTACTCAGCCGTGAACAGGAAGGAGCTCTGCGACCTGCTGCCACATGGTCCAGCCTCCAAAGCACGCTGCTCAGTGGAAGGGACCAGGTGCACAATGTCCAGCAAAGGTGAGTCCATGGAGACTGGAGGCAGATTGGTGGCTGCCAGGGCCTGGGAGGAGGGGGGATGGGCAGTTACTGCTTCCCGGGCACAGAGTGTCCTTTTGGGGAGGTGACATGTTTTGGAACGAGACAGAGGGGGTGGTTGCACAACGTCGTGAATATACTAAATGTCACTGACGTGTCTGCTGTGAAATGTTTAATGTGATTTGATGTGAATTTCACCTCAATACAAAAGTATTGTATCTTGTGACCTTCAGGAAAAGGCCAAGGGCATCACAGAGGCACCGGCATTGCCATCATTTGGCCGGCAACACCTTGAAGTCAGCCTTGAGCAGAGAACGGGGCCCACTCCGCCTGCACGTCTGTCCTGCACAGGAGGCGCGAACAAACAGGCGTTGTTTGTGGCGATCTGTTACGCAGCGTTGCAAACAAATAAAAAAGGGGATCCTTTCACGTAGCCATGGAGCTGGGAGGGAGCTCACAGAAGACCCAGCACCCCCACTTTCCCCAGAAATCTCCCCTCTCCCCACCCCTCACCTCCGCCCCTCCCTGTATATCCAGAAACCTCTCCCCGCTGCCCTGCCCTACCTCAACTCCCGGCCGCTGCTCTAATTCCCCTCCTTCCCCTACGATACCTGCTCAGCAAATATGCCATGTGACCGGGAGCTCTCCCGGCAAGAGGTAGAAAACAAGGCCAACCGAAGCTCTCAAGTGAAGGCCCGGTCAGAGCTGGAAATACCAGGCGGAGCTGGCACGGGGAACGGCAGCCCCTTGCCAACGCCGTTGAATGAGGTTCTTTAGCCTGGAACAAAGCCCTCCCTTTGAGGACTGACTGCCAACAGGGAGCGCTTTGTTGGGAGCGGAATTTGAGATGCCCGCTGGGATGGGCAGGGGAGAAAGGTGACACCTGCAGGAGCGCCCTGTGTAAATCCTGGATCACAAGAACCAGCATTTCCCCCCTTGTTGGCAAATACGGACGCGTATCGCGCTGACACGCCGCAGCCTCCATCTGATGCGCGGCCCGGGCCCTGGTCTCGAGTTTCCGGCAGGTGATCCCTGCACAGATACGCTCAGACATCCGTGGGTCCTGCCAGGGGAACGGCCCCTTCTCACTCGTCAGCCCTTTATGTTGTTAGAAGAAGGAAAAGCAAATCCCAGTGTTGTTTCCTGAGGCGGAAAACTCAGAGGCGGGAAGGAAGCGTGGGTGACTCCAACTCGGGTGAGAGCTTGTTTATAACACGCCCTGTGCCTCTCACTCCCTCTTTAGGGCCCGGGTCCCATCTTACTCTGAATAAACTCCAACGTCCTACTCTTGGGCCCTCGTTGTCATGTTCCAACTTCCGGCTGCGTCTCTGACCCACCTCCTGCCCTCTGGGCCCAGCCAGGCGGAGCCTGGAACACAGCAGGCACGTTCCCGCCCCAGGGCCTTTGCACAACTGTTCTCTCCACCAGTGGTTTGTTTCTCCAAATATCCGCCTGACCGAGCCTGTTCTTCTAGCTCGTGCTCAAGAATGTCATCTCCTCAGAGGGGCCTCCCTGGCACGTCTCGCTTCTCTATGTCACAGGTTGGATGCTTAATCCTCTCCCAGCCTTGGGAGTCCAAGCCCACACTTTGATTCCCATCACCCCTGGCCTCGCCGGAGGATCAGGCCAGCAGAGGGACAATTACAGAACAGGGTGGACCCAGCCACGGCCCCTGCCCTCCCAGGGCTCCGCTGGGCCTGTCCCGGACCCCGGCCTTCGAGGCAGGGTGTGAGGGTCAGCAGGCGAGGATGGGGAGCTGGCTGTTCCCGCGTCTCCAGCCTGCGCTTGCCAAGAGGTCCAGGTGGTGTCGGGCGCTGGCAGGCGCCCCGTGGCTGACCTCCCTCGCTATGATTTTAGGGCCGCTCCGTTCGTCAGCTCGGCGGCGGCATTTCAAAGCTCCCAGGCGTGGGCTCTGAGCTGTGGTCCCTCCTCGGTGATCTCAGCCCAGGGAAGGGAGTCATGACACAGCTAATCCAAAACAGCTGGGACCCGAGGAGCCGCTGACAGCAACGGCCAGTGCGGGCAACTGTACTCGGTCCTGCGACTGTACTGGGTTCTCTTGACTGTACTGGGTCCCCTCGGTTGTACTGGGTCCCCATGACTGTACTGGGTCCCCACGACTGTACTCGGTCCTGCGACTGTACTGGGTTCTCTTGACTGTACTGGGTCCCCGCGACTGTACTGGGTCCCCTCAGCTGTACTAGGTCCCCGCGGCTATACTGGGTCCCCTCAGTTGTCCTGGGTCCCCTCGGTTGTACTGGGTCCCCTCAGCTGTACTGGGTCCCCGCGACTGTATCGGTCTCTCAGCTGTACTGGGTCCCCTCAACTGTACTGGGTTCCCTCAGTTGTACTGGGTCCGTGCGGTTGTACTGGGTCCCCTCGGTTGTACTGGGTCCCCGCGACTGTATCGGTCTCTCAGTTGTACTGGGTCCCCTCAACTGTACTGGGTTCCCTCAGTTGTACTGGGTCCCCGTGACTGTACTGGGTCCCCTCAGTTGTACTGGGTCCCCTTCGGCTGTACTGGGTCCCCTCGGTTGTACTGGGTCCCCTCGGTTGTACTGGGTCCCCTCGGTTGTACTGGGTCCCCTCAGTTGTACTGGGTCCCCTTCGGCTGTACTGGGTCCCCTCGGTTGGACTGGGTCCCCTCGGTTGGACTGGGTCCCCGCAGCTGTACTGGGTCTTGAGTGCACAGCCAGGGGAGCACTTGACATCCGCTTTCTCCTCTTTTGTAAACTCATTTTTCATGGTAATGAGTCTACTTTGTATGTAAAGTGTTTCTCCTTGACTTGCAGAATAGGCCTACCTACCCCAGCAGGAGTGCACCTGTCGGAAACATCCCCAAGCTCCCTCTCACATCAACCCCGAGACCGCCCCCCCCCTCCAGTGGTCCCCGAGCTGTATGCGCAGGACAGGGCCCCTTCCTCTTCATGCCCTGAGCTCAAGGCCCACCTCCTGGGAATCCAGCCTGACTGCTTGGAAACCCTGACCTCTGCCTCCTAGTGCTTCTCAGGTTCGTGGGCATCCATGGAAAGTATGCTGGGGGTGGGGGACGTGAATACAAGGCCGACAGGCCCTCCTCACCTCAGGGTCGAGGATGGAGCCCTAAATTGGGACTCTACATCCCCGGTCCAGTCCTGACTTGGGCACAAAGCACTGTGTGACCACCTGCAGGTGTCATGGCCTCTCTGGGCTTTGTTGCTCCAAGTGCAAAATGGAAGAGGGCCTCACACCTAATGGAATGGAAGAGTCCTTGTAGCTCTGCATGTGGCTCTGTATCAATGAGGACTTCTTGGCTGACAGCAACAGAAAACCCTACTCACATCCATTAGAGAGGAGCAGGAAGGACTGTTGGAGGAGCTGGGAAGGATACTGATTCAGGTATGGCTTGATCCAGGGGCTCTGACAATGTCATCCTTTCTGTCTAGTGTATTTCCCTCCACCTGTCAGCTCTGCTTTCCTTTCACATTCTCATGCAGACTCTCCTCTGGAATGGCAGGGTGGCTGCCAGCACCCCAGGCTTCATGCTGTCCCCCCAAAGTCCCCAACAGGAAGAGTGATTCTCTTTACCCCAGAGCTAATGCAGAAGGACCCTTGTTGGCTCTGGTTGGATAAACCTGAGTTACATGCTCATCCCTGAACCAATCCCTGTAGCCAAAGGGGTGGATAGAATTCCCTGATTGGCTGAGCCTGTGTCATGGGACCACACCTGGATGTGGACTGAAGCTGGGGTAAGAGTTGTTTCCCAAAGAAAATCCCAGAGTTGTTTCCAGACGGAGGGGAACAGATGCTGGACAGGGAAACATTTTAAAAATCCATGGCAGAGTCGGAATTACACTGTGCAATCAACCATCACAGAGGTTTGCCTTCTGCAAATGTGTGTTCCTCTGTGGGTCCAGAGATGCCCCACTGGGCACCAAAGCCAGCCAGGAATTGCCTGCAGGGACAATCCCACATGCTCGGATTTCTTCCCTCTCTCTACTGCAATATTTTCATCTCAACAATCATCTCCTCGTTCCTCCCCAGCCCTCAGGGGAGCGTCCAGGCTTGTTTCCTCGGAGCAGGTGGTATATGAGGCCCTTCTAAGAGGTCCCTGAAAGCTGCACTCACCCTCAGAAGAACCTGGGAGGCACCTGAGTAACTTTTACTGAAGAAGATGGTTCCAGGTTGTAGGTGCTTCCTCCGGCTGCTGTAACAAATTACCACAAACCTAGTGGCTTAAAACATAACTTATTTCCATACAGTCCTGGAGGTCAGAAAAGGGGTCTCCTTGGACTAAAATTAAGGTGTTAGTCCGTTTCTCTCTGGAGGCTCCAGGGAGCATGGGTTTCCTGCCTCCTCCAACCTCTAGGGGCTGCCCATACTCCTTGGCTCATGGCCCCTTCCTCCACTTTCAATGCCAGCTGCAGAGCATCTTCCAATTTCCATCCTGCCTCTGACCCTTCTGCCAGTCTCCTAGAAGGGCCCTGTGGTTGCATGGAGCCCGCCCGGGGAATCCAGGACAGCCTTGCCATCTCAAGGTCCTTAGTCACATCTGCAAAGATGTGAGGTCACATCTTCATGGGATTAGGCCGTTATTCCACCTACCCCAAGGGTCATTTCATGCACTCCCCGCTGCCTGCTCCTTTATCCAGACCATGCCAGTAAAAATTTGCTTTAGGTTACAAAATGAGGCTTGCAGTGGGTCGGAACATGTGCGCGCACGCGCGCGCGCGCACACACACACACACACACACACACACACTCCTTGCCTTCTCTAGCTTGCCTACAGTGTGGCACACACACAAATTCGTTCATTCATTCAATTAACACGTATGAAGCATCTACTATGTGCTAGGCACTGGACTTACCACGAGGGTGTGATGGAGACAAAGACACACAGGGTCCCCACCTAAGGAGGTTACCGTCCAATATGGGACATAAGCATCAAACCAAGTAAGTACTCACCAACTCGTTCATTAATCCACGCAGCCTGTACTTATTAAATGCCTGAAATACCCTGGCCCTGAAGGAGACAGGCCCCGTCCCTGTCTCATGGAGGGTGCACTCTGAGGTGGCAGACAGACAATTAGACAAGCAATGACAAAGGAGGGTGGGATGGGAAGAGGGACCAGTCCAGATAGGGGTGTTGACCAAAGGAAAGGGGAGAGGGGCTGCCTGTCGGTTACACACTGCGGCGTAACAAACCACTCCAACGCAGACACTTCTCACAGCGCCCCCTCATTCCCAGGGGCGTGGAGGCCACTGCAGAGTGCTGCTGACCTGGGGTGGTCTCCACTGATGAGGCTGGCGATGCGAGGACCTGCCCAGGTCCCCCTCGTCTGTGGGACGCTTCTAGCATCCCCCCGCGTCTGACCAAGGGGGGGAAACTCCTCCGCTGGCGAGGTCTCCCGGCAGCAGCCCCGGGTTCCCCTCTCCTTCCAGCCCTGGTCCCCTTTGCAGGGCAAACCTGCCTCCAGGAGCCGAGAACAGACAGCCACAGCCCAGCCCAGCTCCAGCCTCCCCCGCGCCCGAGGCTTCTGGCCCCTGGTGCCCACTTTCTGCCAACTCAAAGGGACCGGAGGGCTCCTGGGCTCTCCTCTGACCTTCCACCCACGAGCGCGAAGGCTCCTGTGGAAACGCCAGGAAAGCCGCCACCCCCTCACAGAGCTGGGTCCTGAGCAGGAGGCCAGGGAGGATCTCTCTAGATTTGCAGTAAAATCCGACCTTTGGTTCAACCCGGCTTAATGAGTACGTGAGCTGACAAGGCCCTGCGGTCAGTCCCCAGAGCTGCTTGGGGCGAGGCCTTTGGCCGGCCGTGGGGCCAGCCCCTCCCCGTGATCTCAGTGTCCCTCCCAGTCCCCACAGAACCTCGGGGCCGCTGGGGGGCGGCAGTTTGGGAAACAGACTTCGGGTCTCTGGCTGAGGGAGGTGGAAATGCTGAGCTGGGAGAGGCCCAGGGCGGCGGGCGTCTGAGGGGCCCGCGGGGCCATTCCGACGCACATGACACTGTGGCTCCTCACAGGCCGCTCCAGTGCCGGCCACCTGGGCCCCCACCTGCCACTCCCGGCTCTGGGATGTAAATGCCTGCTGCTCACCCACGGAAAGGTGTTGGGGGCGGAAGGGCACACGCAGGAGGACCGGGAATCTTCGCTGTAACTGACAGCAGGCTGGGCCACCCCGCGGTGCTGGGAGAGCCTCGCCCGCAGCAGTGAGAAAGCTGTGTTCTGGTTCCAATTCTGGTTCCAGAGACTCGGGGACACGCCCTGGAAACGAGGACTCATCTCCTCTATCAACAGCGGCCACGACTG